AACTTTAAAAGGGGTAACTTCTCTCATGAGGGGACATGTGAGGAAGAAACTGAAAGGAAAAGTAGAAAGGGTCAAAACCATTGGGGAAGCTTGGAGACTATTTAAAACTACAATCGTACAGGCTCAGAAAAAATATATACCACAGGTTAGGAAAGGCACAAATAGGTATAGGGAAAAGCCTGCATGGTTAACAAACAAAGTAATAGAAGCTGTAAAAGGTAAGAAGGATTCCTTAAGTGGTGGAAAGCTGGTCTCAGTGAGGTTGATAAAAGGGAACACAGGCTGTGGCAAATAAAATGCAAGTCTGTGATGAAGCAGAAAAAAAGGGAATACGAAAAAACATAAAGACCAACCATAAAACTTTCTTCAAATACATTAGAAGCAGGAAACCAGCCAGGGAGGCAGTGGGGCCCTTGGATGACCAAGGGGTAAAAGGAGTACTGAAGGATGATACGGAAATGGCTGAGAAGCGGAATGCATTTTTTGCCTCTGTCTTCACTGTGGAAGATGAGAAGTGCTTGCCCACTCCAGAAACACTGATTTCAGGAGTGGTGTTGAGAGACCTGAGTCAGACTGAGGTGACGAGAGAGGAGGTCCTACAACTGATAGACAACTTAAAAACCGATAAATCACCAGGCCCGGATGGCATACATCCGAGAGTTCTGAAAAGAACTCAAATATAAACTTGTGGATCTCCTGACAAAAATATGTAATCTTTCCTTAAAATCTGCCTCCATTCCTGAGGACCGGAAGGTAGCTAATGTCACTCCCATCTTTAAAAAGGGTTCCAGAGGAGATCCGGGAAATTACAGGCCAGTCAGTCTGACGTCGATACTGGGTAAATTGGTGGAAACTATTAAGGAAAGAATAGGCACATAGATGAACAAAAACTATTGAGGAAGACTCAGCATGGGTTCTGTAAGGGAAGATCTTGTCTCACTAACCTGTTAGTGTTCTTTGAGGGAGTGAACAAATATGTGGACAAGGGGGACCCAATAGATGTTGTTTACCTTGACTTCCAGAAAGCTTTTGATACAGTTCCTCATCAAAGGCTCCTAAGTAAGTTCAATAGTCATGGGATAAAAGGACAAGTCCTTTTGTAGATCAAAAATTGGCTGATTAATAGAAAACAGAGAGTGAGTATAAATGGACAATTTTCTCAGTAGAGGGTGGTAAGCAGTGGAGTACCGCAGGGATCAGTACTCGGTCCGATGCTTTTTAACTTGTTTATCAACGATTTGGAGTTGGGAATAAGCAGTGAAATGGTTAAATTTGCAGATGACACAAAGTTGTTCAGGGTGGTGAGAGCCAGGGAGGATTGTGAGGCACTCCAGAGGGATCTGTCAAGGATGGGCGAGTGGGCGTCAACATGGCAAATGGGGTTCAATGTGGCCAAGTGCAAAGTGATGCAGATCGGAATCAAAAATCCCAGCTGAGGTCTGAACTGGCAGAGACTGATCAAGAGAGAGATCTTGGAGTCGTAGTAGATAACTCACTGAAAATGTCGAGACAGTTTGTGACTGCAATAAAAAAGGCCAATGCTATGCTGGAGATTATTAGGAAGGGAATTGAAAACAAATCAGCCAGTATCATAATGCCCCTGTATAAATCAATGGTGTGACCTCATTTGGAGTACTGTGTACTGCACCACACCTCAAAAAGGATATTATAGCACTGGGAAAAGCGCAAGAAAAGGGCAACTAGAATGATAAAAGGGTTGGAACACTTTCCCTGTGAAGAAAGGTTAAAGCGCTTGGGGCTCTTTAGCTTGGAGAAACGACGGCTGAGGGGTGACGTGATTGAGGTTTACAAGATTATGTGTGGGATAGAGCAGGTAGAGAAAGAGGTACTTTTCTCCCTTTCTCACAATACAAGAACTCATGGGCACTCCATGAAATTCCTGATCAGTTGGGTTAGAACAGATAAAAGGAAGTCCTTCTTCACCCAAAAGAGTGATTAACACCTGGAATTCACTGCCACAGGAGGTGGTGGCGGCTACAAGCAGGGACAGCTTCAAAAGGGAACTGGATAAGCATATGGAGCAGAGGTCCATTGGTGGCTCTTAGCCACAAGGTATAGATTGGAACTCTCGGTCTGGGGCAAGGGATGGTCTGTATCCTTGGTGCATGGGGAGGCAACAGTGGGAGGGGTTTCTGGTGTCCTGGCCCCACTGCTGGACCTCTCCTGATGGCCCCTGGTATTTCTGGCCACTGTGTGACACAGAAGAGTGTTGGAGTGGATGGGCCAGTGGCCTGATCCAACATGGGCTTCTCTCTTATGTTCTAAACAGCAAGGAGACTGGCTGGACTTTTGTGGGCAGGGGGCAGAAAAGTCCACCCCCCAATGGCAGAGCTCATGCTTTGCATGGTGGTGGTCTCAGGGTCAGTGCCTGGCACTCCCAGTCAACAGGCTTTTAACCAGCCGGGCTAGGGAAGACCCCTCCCTCTCTCTCTCTGCCTGAAGCCTTGCAGAGCCACTGCTGCTGGTGGCCAGAGTAGGCAGCCGGGAGGAGGGTGAAGGGGCACTCTGTCTCTGAAGAAGGCAGCCCCCCTTGGGGCCCTCCGGAGAGGCTGCCCTCACAGCAGCCCCCGCCCCCCCCCCGGCCGTGTGCCGCCCTGGCTCACCATGTCCCGCCTCTCGGCCATGAGGCGGAAGAGGGAGTCGTGCCACTCCAGGAGGTGGGTGTCCAGGAGGTGGGCGGAGGGGAAGGACCTCTTGCAGGAGGCGCAGACCTCCCTGTGGAGCAGGGCGTAGTGGTGCTCGTAGCTCTCCGAGGTGCTGAAGGTCTGGCCGCAGCCCGCAGCCGGGCAGAGGAAAGCAGCAGCAGCAGCAGCAGCAGCAGCAGCAGCAGCAGGAAGCCGGAGGGGAGGGGGGGGGTCACAAAACCCTAAACCCCCCCCCACGCGGGCAAGAGGGGCGAAGGGGAGGGGGTCCTCCTCCGGGTCAGGCCCCGCCCCCCGGGCTCACCCCGGGCTCACCCTGCCTCCTCCTCCGCCTCCTCCGCCTCCTCCCGGGCCGGCCCCCCGCTCAGGGCGCCCTGCAGCTGCAGCGAGAGGTGCCGCTCGACGTCGCCGTCCTGGGACGGGGGAGGGGGGGAAAGAGGAGGGAGGGGTCAGTCGGGGCGGG